CAGTACCCTTCGAACGGAGCAGGTCTTGGGTTGTCTCCCTTGCCCCCTTGGGCCTTGCCCTTGCCGTCCGTTCCCTTGCCCATGCCCTTACCTCTGCTCCCCTTGGAGTCGCCCTTGCCCTTCCAAGCAAGAGAGTCGACCTCCATGGGCGCGACCCCGGTATTAGAGCTGGCTGTCGACGCGCGGTCCCGCACACAGATCTTGACCTGTTTCCCGGCCCTGGTCTCGCAGCACTGCGCGACCTCGGCGCGCACGTCGGCGCACCTCTTCAGCCTGGACGCGTCGAGCTGTAAATTGTTTCCAGCTCTTCGAGCACCATGGCCTCCAAGGCCGAGGCAAGAAAATCGTCAGCAATCTGTGCCTCTCCGAGCTTCTGCGCCTTCTTGTTGTAGCTGGTCACCATTGCTTCCCACGCCTGGAGCGCTGTCCCCAACTCTTCGATATTCACCTTGCTGGGCGACACGATCGCCCTCAACAGTGCCCGGCGCCTCCCGCCACTGAGCGAGTCGAAGCGCCGGCGCAGCAGCCGCCAAGCTTCCAAGCCGTTCCCGGGGCAGCTCTGCACGATCGCCCATGCCTCACCTTCTGTGGTGCTGGCAAGGACGGACTTGAACTGTTGATTGAGACCTTTCATGCCCTCGATGAAATTGTCGTCCGCCTACGAATTGGCGGCCCACGTCGTCGGGGCTGACGGCGTCGTCTTGGTCCAGGGCCCACTCCAGCGCACGGCCCAGCCGAGGCTCCACACCGCGCAAATAGTCGTTTATCTTGCGGGTCTACTCCGGGAACCTGGATTCATCCCCTGTGAATGTCCATGGCTTCGCGATGGCCTTCTGGTCCACCAGCTGCGGCCTCTCGCGCCGTGCGAGGGCCTTCGTCTGCTCTGCGAGCACAGACACAAGTTGCTGCAGCCCCTCAATTGTGCCCAGCGTTGTTGCTGCAGCTGCTGCCGCGCCCGCCGCGGCGTGGGGCTCCAATCTGGTTCTGTTGTTGGGCCACGGTAATCTGAAGATGCTGGTTCTCTGTCCGGAGCAAGCGGAGCTGCTTCGTGACCTCCTGAAGCTGCGCCTGCACTGCCTGCAGCGTTGCCTCGGCCATCCTGCTCTCGTTCCTGGCTCAAGCCCTCGTTCTTGACCTTCCGGACTCTGTGCTCGTCCGCAGGCTGCTCCTGCTCGCGCCTGCGGGGCTGCCCGCAGCGCTTCGGCCTCGCGCATAGCGACGTCCAGCCGCCCACCGGGCCTGGCGGAGGAGTCGGGCTACGCCTTTCTGCGTCAGCCCCTCCTTCTCCTCGTGGATCCAAGCGCTCGCAGCTCCCGCGCTGGCGCCTGGGCCGCTCCTCGCACGCCGATCGCGGGTGGTCCCGCGACGTACTCCCCGCTCGAGGCGGGGCCTCTGTCAGGGGCGGGGCTGCCCGTTCCCTGGTGTGCTGCCGGCGGTGCTGCCCGCCAGCAGGGGACGCAGGCTGGGGCGGGGCTGCCCGCTCTCCAGCCTCGCGGCGGAGTTGACCTCGAAGGATCCGTTCAAGACGTCGATGTTCAGATCGACGTTCACCTCTCGGGCGCTTCTTCGGCGGCATGCGAGGGCAGCAGCACCCTACGCTACCATGAAGAAGTGCGTTGTGCCGAAAGGGCTTGTTACGATCATACACAGCGCATCAAAGCAATCAGAATCAGGTATGCACAAATGCAGAGAGGGTATTTCAACAAAAACTCGCATTTAACAAATCTTGGAAACAAGGGATTGTTCAAACTACCTCTCTTACAACTCGTGCAAAATACAAAACCACTGAAATACAAAGCAAGAGTTATTCAAATGTTATGTTACTTGTTTTGTAACATGTTTAACCTAATGTATGCATGCCAGTATGTTTTGCATGCGGAATTCCGACGCCCCGAGATGCAAACAAAATGCGCGAAAATTGACAGCGTCTCTGGCCACGCCTGGCAACGCTCGGCGCGCACGTGCCCCCGCTGTCGCCGGCTCTCAGGGCGCCAGGGGCGTCGTGTCCCTGCTGGACGAGCACGAAGCCCTTCAAGGCAACCATATGCTCGACGCAGCCTGCAGCCTGTAGGCTGTCGGCTGCGTCGCTTCTCCGCGTCGCGCCGCCCCTCTCCCCCCCCGCCTCGACCCCTCTCACCCCCCTCCCCCAAAACGGCCTCAGAAGGCCACGACACAGCCCGAACACGCCGCACGGAACTTAGAAGCTTCGTGGGGGCGGCACAAGAAGCCCGCGGCACCATCGCAGCATGTTGAACAACATAGGTTCCCAGAGTTCAACGTTTTAGAAACAGGGAAACGCGATTAAGTCACGACACGAGGCGCCTGCCGCAGCACTTCCTCGTCGGTGTCAGCGATCTCTCTGGCCACCGAGACGGGACTTGTCGGTCGCCAGCTGGAGGCCCGTTGTGGGACTCGTCGGGCGCGTTCGCACCGTGTTCGGGGCCCATTTGGTTCTTGGCCCTTTGGTGTGGCAATTCGTAATTCTAGGACGCGGCCTCCTGGGTGGCCCTGGGGGGCCGGGCGGGATCGCCAGATGGCTCCGGACCTGAACCACGGATGCGCCACAGTTGGGTTGAGCGACTTCATGTGTTTCTGGACTCTTTCCGCCCTCTAGACTCCAGAATTGCCCGCAGGGCCCAGTGAGGCCGCCAGGACCAAAAACAAAACGTGCGCGCTTCTCGCCCTCATCGCCATGGGCTGGGGGCCCCGCCGCCCCCACCACCCGCTGTCTGGTGCCCTCGTTGGAATACGCAGCGGTCGGCGGAGCTCGTGGTGCTGTCGGTTGCGGAGGCGGCGGCGTCGACAGCGCAGGCGGCCCCGTCGGCGGCGCAGGCGGTGGCGCGAGGGGTGTGCCGAAGTGGTTGACATGCGGAGAGCAGAGGCACGCAGGCAAGGAAGGAAGAGGGGGAAGAGAAGGAGAAGGAGGAAGGACGCGGGGCGCTGTCTCTTCACAACGAGGACCCGGCACCACAGGATGGTTGGGAACAAAAATACTGTTTTACCAACATGCCATGTGTATTAAGCCCCAGTGGGTTCGGAACTTGACTTGTCCGCGAGCAGGACAGGTACAGGGGGGTGAGGCGATTGCCAGCTCGGCATTCAAACCACCCTTCCTCGTACGGTACAGTGGTACAGTCCCAAAGTCGTCGTTGTCACCGCCATCGCCGTCGCCATCATCGTTGCGATCGTTGTCAGCGTAGCCGTTTTCGGCCGCGGGCGAAACCACCGGTGCCAAACCAAACAATGACATGTTACCGATATGTCTTCATTTTTGTTTGGCCCTGGTTGTCTCCGAAAATCGGACTTGCCCGCAAACCCAGGCAAACTAATAATGTTAGTCGGCGAGGGGGTGATGTCAGTGGGGGCGGTGCTCGATGTCAGTCCCCTCCCCCTTGTCCATGTCGATGAGCCTCTGTTGGATGTCAGTAGCCCCCCACGAAGGTTTACGGGCATTCGCCCGAAACATAGTGCACACATTTTGGTGAACGTCCCACGCTCGCGAACCTACCCCGAAGAATGTCCACTGTACGGTGCGTGGTGACACTTGCGAACAAAGTTTCATGGTCTTGCTCCTGTCCCCAACATACGCCCCCCTGGGCGAGGCCGGGAGGACCTGCGGTCAGCATCCGTGCGAGAGGACACCGGGCGAGGCTGCGAGACGACATGAGGTCGGCCTCAGTGCGGGCTCGACATCGGCTTTCGGCTCGAGCGCGCTGGGACCTCGCTTGGCCACTGCGCCTGGCTGGGACTGGAGCGGTTGGATCAGGGGCTGCAGAAGATGCGATATAGCCCAGGAGAGGACCAGCGCTCGGCTTCAATTCGGGCTCGACCTCAGCTTTGGGCTCGAACGCACTGGGGCCTCGCTGGAGCAGAAGGAAGGATAGTCCAGGGGGGGGCATTACGCTTATCGAGGGATTCGAACCGCCCACGCGTTCGACAAGGATTCCTAGCGAACACGTATGCCCATACCCTGGGCTATTCGCCCCTGTGTATCGCATCAGCTTGAACCCCACTGGGATCATAAAAGAAGCCTAGCTCAGGCCACCCTAAAGAACACAGGAGGTCCCGTAAAGAACAAGCAAACAAGCAACAGAAACGTGAACCGTCGGAGGACAACTCGGACTTTTTGGGTCGGCACTGAACTCCGCTCCCCACACCCCTAGTGGCGCATCCAGCGTCGCCCCAAGAAGGGGGAGACAGAACGCTCACCAAAGAGCGCTTGCACATATGGATTCTCGCTTGCGCTGTAAAGGGATGATCCTGCCTCCCGCACATATTTAAGCAGGTGCTGGGGCCGCTACAGACTATGGGTGCTTGGACCGCGACGACCTGTACCACTCCTCCTCCGCCTCATCCCTCCCTCTCGGGGAGTCCGTGGCTGATGAGCAAGTGGCGAGGGGAAAGATCCCCCCGTCTCTTCGGCAGAGGCCGCTGCCGCGGGTGCGTTTGGCTTCGCTGATCGCAGCTAGGCAGAGTGGATCGGAGCGCACGCCCTGAAGGCCTGGGCAGAGGTGCGTGCACGGCGTGACACCCAGCCTGATGAAGCCTCCAGGTCACTCTCGCGCATGGGGTGCCCTGTCGGCGGGGCCCGTCCGAGGCAGATCGCAGCCTCGGGTGAGGAGCAAAACTTCTCCTTGGATGGGCACACCCCCCAGTTCAATGTTCTCTCTCCCCTTGAGTGCTCTTTCATGGACGCTGAACCTCCTCCCTCCCTCCTCCCTGAAATGGTTGCTCCACACTGCGCCTCGCCATGCCAACGTATTTGTAAATTTGTAAATTCATGTTTCGAGATGTCATCGACACGGGCTCCTCTAGCCGTCGGTGGGTTGGCATTCCACAGTGTTCGCGGACCAGCCGCCCTTGAGGCTGTGCAAGCCGCCAGTATCCTCACTCCCTCCTCCTCCTCCTCCTCTTCCTCCTCCTCCTCCTCCTCCTCCTTCCTTCTCCTTGTCCTCCTCCACTTCCCCCTCCTTCTTTCAGGTGGCTCGCGCGCGAAGGCGGCCTGCCGCTCAGAGCGAGACCCCTCCTGGGGGTGGCAGCCGGGCGCGCCCTCTCGCGAGCCCCTGGAGACGCGGGCCACTGGAGGCGCGGGCGGCCCGTACAGCCCGATGGGGCCACGCCGAACAGGCAGCGCCGCGCGCGCGTCGATGCGCCGACGCCGCGCGCCCGCCAAGCGCGGCGCCGGTGCCCTCGGCGGCACCCGCGGTAGCCGCGCCTTGGCCGTGGCTAGAGCCGCCAGAGCCGCGCGGCGGCAGCGGCGCCAGCGGGCGCCGCGCGGGCGCGAGAACGTGCGCAGAGTTGGCCCTCGGACTGGCGGCCTTAGCCTCGTGGCGGGGCCGCGCCTGCAGCGCCGGCAGCCTCCTCACCACGGCCAGGTCGCGAGGGCTCTGCGGTGTGCCCAGCGGCGGGTCGCTGGCGTGCTCAAGCCTCGCCCACAGCTTCGGCGGGCGGCAGCCTCTCCGCCCAGACCCACCTGCCGTCGGTGGAGCACAGGGAGATCCACCCCGGCCCGCGGGAGTACCTGATCCTGGCGCGGACCCGCTGGTCATCGGCGACGTATGAAGGACACAGAGCGGCATAAACCTACACTTCGGAGGTCCGCGCGGAGTTCTTCGGATCGGCGCTGGTCTCTCCTCGTGGCGTCGCCTCCAGCGCCGCCCGTGGCGCGCACCGTGCGCCAGGGAGGGGGGCCCAGCGCCGATCAGAGAAATCCTTGCGGAGCCTCGAAAGTGTATTCTTATGCAAGTTTCTGCCCCTCGAGACGTGCACGACCTCCAGCACCTCCACCACGGCGCCCGGGGGCAGGAGTTCGAGGTTCGATGATCCTCAGAAACTATGCCGGCGCCAAAGCGTGCTTGCCCATCCAAGCCCTTCATCCAGTGCGAAGCAGACATCGCAGTGTGGGCCGACACGGGCCGCGCGCCATCGGCGGAAGCGCAAACACACCCGACTAGACGCAATAGGCAAGAGTTCGGGGGCCGCTGGGGGGCCAAATCCATGCGCACAGGTCAGTGCTTGGGGGAACCCAATGGACCCGCACCGAAGGTTTCTCGGGCGAAGGGTCACTCTTGCGCGCAGCCGACGCACTCTGGGCTAACACACGCCCTTGGGATCATCGAGAGGTCCGCGTCGGCCAGCCGCGGCCCGGAGCCCACCCCGGTGTGCATGACGCACCTGTACGCGCCAGGGCCCTGCGCCCACTGCGCGATCGCGCCCTGGGCCAGCGGGGCCTCGCCCTCGCCCTCGCCGGCCAGCCACACACTCAGGGAGCTGCGTCTACCCCTCTGGAAGAGCCCCTCGAACCCGGACCTCCAACGCGCTGGAAAAAAACAAGACGGAGGTTTGTCGCAATCTTCGGCCTCTGGGTGCCCTCGCTGGGCCCCAGGACCGTCGAAAAACGATGCAGGCCGAACTCCTGGTCCCGAGCCCGGGGACCCCCTGCTGACAAAAATCAAAACATCGGAGGCCTGGATATCGACGAGCTCTCGAGAGGGTCGTCGAAGGCGATGGGTCCACCCAGGGGGGCAAGGACCACAACTCCCCCAGCTGTGGCTGGCCTGCCTCTACGTCCTCCTCCTCCTCCTCGTCCAGGGCCTCGTGCCGGCCGTCGTCCAGGAGCAGGACCCAGACGTCCAACGCATTGAAACGATCAAGACGGAGATTTTATGTTCGTCTCCGGCCTCTGGGGGACCCTCGCTGGGACCAAAGACCGCCAATCAACGGCCCGCGACGAAAAAACAACCTTGGGGAAAAGGTCGGGGCTTCCGGGCACCCCGCACTGAATAATCAAAGCGTCGGATCTCTGGGGACGTAGGCCACGAAGCCCATCCCGAAGGCGGCGGCCGCCAGCATAATCGCCCTCCGCCACGCGAGGGCCTCCACCATCGCTCCTGGGGAGGAGCTGGAGGAGGGAGCAGGACGAGGGGCTGCCCAGGAACCACCAGGAGGGTGAGGGCCGGTCCTTCCTGGAGGCCTTCCTGGGGGCCTCCTGCGCCGCAATGGCTGCGGACGAGGCGACCGCCCGCGAGCGGGAGCACACAACTCCGCCTGGCACAGGCGGGGGTGGGAGGCGCAGAAACAGCATAGTAACTTACAAGAGAGAAATAACCAAGCCTGGGTGGCGCGGCTGCTCCCGCACGTACTGTCAACGAGACGCCTGCTCAGGCAGCCATTTGCGGCGGGAACGCAACGAATGCCTGCAACATGGCGGTGCGAACGATATGCAACCAGACGGGCCGCGACGGCGCTGCGACGTGGTGGGGGTACCTCCCCTCGGCTGAACCGCGACGATTGACTGCAAGGAAAAGCGAACGATACCACGCCTGCTATGCCCTAGACGAACGGCACGGATAGCGGCCGCGCTCAAGGACCACCCAATGCGCACCCCCTATGGTGTCAAGAAATTGCCACGCCTGCTATGCTCTGGACGATCGTCACGGATGCGGCCGCGCTCAGGGACCACCCCCTGCGCACCATCTGGTATCGAGACAGTGCCACGCCTGCCACGCTTTCCGACCCTGGCACTGATAGCGGCCGCGCTCAGGGACCACCCCCTGCGCACCCCCTCTGGTCTCGAGAAATTGCCACGCCTGTCACCAGCCCTGACCCGCATAGAGGCCCCGCGGAGAGTCTACGCTCCGCGATAAACGGATAGGAGACCCACCTCCGGCGCAACCCCTGTGGCGTCGAGAAGTCCCTCGTCTCCCACGCTTTGCCAGCCCAACACGGATAAGGATACCACCCCAAGGGCAACCCCTGTGGCGTGGAAATGCCATGCCTGCCACGCTTTGCGGGCCCGAAGCGGACGTGGGGACCACCCCCACTGCACATACGTTGTGTGTGCAGCTGTAGATGTGTGTATGAAAGATGTGTAGGTGTTGAACCCGCCAAGTATATACTAGCGTTGTCTCGTCCACGTGGCCTCCCTCCCATACCTGCGTGCGATGCGAAATGTGTGTTGTGTGTTTGTCTATGTATGCCGCGCGGCTGCATGTTTGTTTGTGTCTGATGCGCGTGCGAATGCAGGTGGGAAGGAGAGGAGAAGGGGGCGGTGAAGGGAGGAGAAGACCTGGGTGGGACGCGGCAGGGAAGAAAACCAGAAGCCTAATAAGCATGTGGTAAATGATCACTTTTATTTTTATGTGAGCATGTCCAGCCTGGTCGAGACTGGGGCGCGCTGGCGAGAAAGGAGTAAGCATCGCGCTGTACCAATACTGGAAGAAGCGCGCCGAGCTCGAGAAATGCATGCGTCGCAGGGCCGAAGAGGAGGCAACTTTGGCCACCCCTGCCTGCCGCTGCTCATACATAGCCCGCGAGTTGGCGCTACCTCTTGCTCAAAAGCCAGCAGGTGCACACGGCTGTAGTCTGCCAGAGCCAGCGCAGCGGGCAGAGAAGCCCATCTATCTGGCTAGGACTGTCCGCCCGCGGTCACGCGAGTGTCCATCCAATGAATGTAAATGATCTTCCCCCAACTTAACACAACAACCACAAAAGGGAAGGACTGGAAAAGAAAACGATACGCCATCCGGCGCTGGGCAAACAACTATACACTGGCACCCGCAAGTGGAAATCTGGCTGAACAGAGCAAGAGGACCTGAAGAAATCCAAGATGTATCAACGATGGTGCAGCACAATCTCCCGTCTCGAGTCCCCTCCTCACTGGCCCCTACAACAAAATATTTCACCACACGAAGCGGCCCCATTGAAAGACAAGCGGCCCATGGCCCCGCAATTCAGGCAGAAGCTCCGTTTTGAAAGAAACTCAAGACTGCGACAGGGTGGGGTCAGTAAGATCAAGGACAGGCTCAGCGACAACCCCGCTTTGAAAAGAAAGCGCCCTCCCCCGTGCAACTGTTGCACGATGTTTGACTTCGGGCTTCTGGACAAGAAACCTTACAAAATCTCAAACGAGACACCAATATGAAAAGAAATCGCACTCCATCCGTGCAACCGCTGCACAGCCTTATCCTTGCGGTGATAATATTAAAGGATATCTCAAGCGAGCGCCGCATTCCAAAAAAGGACCGCCCTCAATCCGTGTAATCAGCTGTTAGGGCTTTTTCAAGACGGTCGCGCGCGCGCACCAAAAAGAATGCCCCTGTCAAAAACGGCACACCATCCACTCGACTGTTGGAGGAGGTTTGAGACAAATGTGCGCGGCACCAGGCCGAGAGCCCATTTTGAAAAACCAACAGCCCTCCACCTTAAGACGACGTGAGCGGCACCAGGGCGGGAGCCCCATTTTGAAAACTATGTGCCCTCCATCCATCTAACTGCTGGGAATTCGCCGGCCCAACGGGCCGAGGGCGTGCTAAGATCTCCGGTCACTGGTTAACAATATCCTAGTTTGCGCGTACGGGGCCGCCCCTGGGGGTCACAGACGAAAAATACCCCCGCAAGTCCCGGCCAAATCCCGGCCAACTCCCGGCCAGGTCCCGGGCAGATCCTGGCCAGGTCCCAGCAGGCTCCCCAAGAGCCTTCCAGGAGCGCTTCAAGTGGCCTCCAAGAGAGCTCAACATGGCCCGAGACGGCCCACGAGCGATCCAAGACGCCAAGGATGGCCTCCAGACAACCCAAAGCGCCTGCAAGACGCCCCAAAGACGCCCCAAGAGGCCTCCAAAAGACCTCCAAGACAACCCACAGAGGCAGAAATTAGTCATGTTCCTGAAATTCTCTGAAATTTTTTGCATTCTCGCCTTGGGAGCTTACCGGCGTTCCAAGACGGCCCAGAGGCTTCCAGGATCGCCCCAACATGGCCCAAGAGGACTGCTCCAAGAGCGGGCCAAGACGGGAGACCCGAACGGACCTGCCGAGCTCGAGGCGCAGAGAGGTTCCCTGGAGGCCTCGAGAAAACCCTAAGAAACTCCCAGGAGGCCCCCGAAAGGCCCCAAGAGACCCCCAAGAGGACCAATAGAGGCCCCCGCGGCGCCCCAGGAGGCTCAGAAATACCGCCAAGAGGCCCCCGAAAGCCCGCCTATCGTCTCACTAACCCTTCCTTTATTCTTCCCTCTCCTCATTCTCCCCCCTCTGCGTCAACTCAATCCTCAAACGAAAAGCGCTCCGCCAAGAGGCCCCCGAGAGGCCTCCTGTCGTCTCACAGACTCTTCTTTCTTTTTGTCCCTCTCCTCCTTCACCCCCCTCTGCGCCAACGACCCCTACTCCTTGGACGATACGCGCCGCAATCAATCATCACGACAGGAATCGCCGCCGGCCCAACGAGCCAGAGGCGTGCTAAAATCTCCAGTAACTGGATAACAATAGTTCTAGTTCGCGCGCGCAGGGCGGCCCCTGGAGGTCCGCGGCCGACAGATACCCCAAGCAGGTCCTGGGCATGTCCCCCGCAAGTCCCCATCAGAGATGGTTCTGCTCCTGCGCGCCGCCCTCAGGGCCTCCCATGAGCCCACAAAGAGGCCCTGAGGCCCCCGAGAGGCCCCCCAAAGCACGAGAACACCACCACGCAGCCACAGTGATGCGAAATGGGCCGGCGGAGTGAGCGAAGCGATTAAATATGAACCCTTCAAGATCGTAAACGGTAAGTCTCATGCGAAACACCGAGACCGCCTTAATGGCCCGTTTGGTGGCGCGGCAAGGGTAAACTACGTATAATGTAAAAGGAGGGAGGAGGAGCTGGTCTTATGCAGCAGGAAAGGAGGACGTACCCACAGGAAAAAGAATATGAATACCCGGCGGGAGCACGCCACAGCTAGCCCGACGCAGCGCAGCCAGAGAGGCTGCGACGGGCAGCGCCTGCAGCGGCGTTTGGCCTGCAAGAACAGCCAGATGAAATTGATGTTCTTCAGATGATGCTGCCACCTCTGGAACAGAGTAACGCCATAGAGATAAAATGCCTGAGTTCCGACCAGCTACGCCGCCAGGGGAGGGGCAACGCCAATCCGAGAATTCCGCGCAGATCTAAAGTTTCCCTATGTTTATGCCGTTTCTTATTCAAATATGCAGATCACCTGGACCAAGAGGAAAATCCGAAACAAGCCTTCCGCGTGTCATCGCATGCTACCACCAATCCGCCGACCCCCGCTTGCTGGAGATGACAACGCGCGTGAGATATGTGACTGCCCCTCTGCCACTCTGTCCTCCGCAACTTTCTCCATCCTCTGGGGACCAAGACCACGTCTGAGGGAAGGGGGAAGGAGCTCCCAAACGCACCTCCCCAACGAGTTTGAAGGGGGCTGGAAGTATCGTAGCAACGATCGTCCCCATGCAGGAGGAGATGCCATCTCAAGCAAGAAAGGATACCTTTTGGTCTCGATAGCGACTGCGTGCCTCGCAGTGAGGCACAGTCAAATCTGGGCGGCCGGCCGCGTTGAGCCAAGGCGGCCGCGGGCGCACGCTCGCTTCCACTCCTTACGTCCCCCAGCTCGCTTTAGAGTCGGGGGGAAAGGGAGACGAAGCGTGCGTCCGCCGCCCGTATAGCAGGAACAGTTCAGCAGCTAACCTATACAAAGACAGGAAAAGAGACGGGCCCAAAGGAGGTGGATCCGCCAGCAAGTTGCCTCGCATATATATATATATATATATATATATATATATATATATATATAATATATAACGTACTCATCAGGCGGCCTCAGAGCTTCTTGTCTGGCCGGCCCGATTTGGAGTATGTCTTGTCAGGTCATGCTTGAAGGTCTGTATACCTCCCATGACTTGTAGGAGTATATCTCTGTCGATGCTCCCCTTGGTGTGTCCATCCGCAGTCATGTCGCGGGTATCACACCACTGAATGCAATGCGCGATCCCACGCTCCATCATCTGTCGTATCCAACTGATGTGTCCTAAGAGGGTACACTCAGTCGGTGTCTTTAAATCTCTGCTTGACAAGGATTTAAAAACAGACTCAGCATCGATGGTCAGAGTGACCTTGATGCTCAGGCCACCCAGCTCATATATATCTTTCAACTGAGTTGGCGTGAGCGGCTCCGCGTGGAGCTCGCGCAGAATCACCATCGCGGATATAACCATCCTCGAAATTATGGGCTGCTTTAAGTGTCTCTGCTGAAGAGCTTGAGCGGAAATGCAAGCGGCGAGAGTTACAGTACGCAACAATCAAGTGAACAACAGGCTTGCCAAATGACGTGTCTCCACGTCGTAGCAGGTTTGCCCGGCGAATGCCATAGCCTTTGACGTCGTCATCGGCGTCTCCACTCAGGCGTCGATAACCTGAGTCGCTATGTAAGTCGACCTCGCCCGCGG